GGGGAGCACCTGGTGAGGGTTCTAGACCCCTGACCCACCACACACACACACCGGGCCCAGTTCCTTCCTGAAGTTGCCTGAGATCTACAAGAGGGGGTCACAGGACAAGGTGCCTGTGGTGAGGCATGACGCTGCAGCTTGGTCACAGCAGGGCCGCCTGGGGTGCAGGTGCCCCCCCGGGACCCCGGATACACAGAAGGTGGGATGCATGGTACACATTCTCTGTGGGCTTCAAGAATTCCAGTAATTAATTCCAGTATGTGCTGGTCAGGTTGTCATTAGGCTCTGTGGCCTTTCTGTGGTTCTTTTAGTCATTTCACGGAGTTACTGCTCCAAGCTGGGAGGCTGGGAGGCTGGGAGGCCGGTCCCCGGCCAGGGTCTTCCTGAGCCAGCTGGGGGAGCCCTGAATGCGATGATCTGGCCCTTGTTCCATATTCCCCAGCATGCCCCTGGCAATTCTGGCTCTGGAATTCTTTTTTTTCCTCCTATTTTTTAAAAAAATATTTTATTGGAAAATCAGATTTACAGAAAGAAGGAGAGACAGAGAGAAAGATCTGTCTGATGGTCCACAACCCAAGTGCTGGAGTTGAGCCAATCCAAAGCCAGGAGCCAGAAGCTCTTCCGGGTCTCCCCTGCAGGTAAGGGGCCCGAGGCCTTGGTCCGTCCTCGACTGCTTCCTCAGGCCACAAGCAGGGAGCAGAATGGGAAGCAGGACCACCGGGATTAGAACTGACACCCATATGGGATCCTGGCACGTTCAATGCGAGGACTTTAGCCACTAGGCCACTCGCTGTGCTGGGCCCTCCACAGGGATTCTTGTCACAGTGCCTGTAAACAGAGCAAGCAGCATCTTTGGAGCCAAGGGGGTGGTTGAGTCCTTGTTAGCTCAAGGACTTATTTTCGAAAAGGGGAAACTGAGGCGGGGGACAGGTTCTGCCACACGGTGTGAGGGACTCCCCGGGCAGGGAGGAATGAGTGACGACCGGGGGCTCAGGGAGAGAGATAGACACAAACTCACGGTCATCCTTCTCTGCCTCCTGGGCAGCAGGGGGATGGAGCCCGCAGGACTCGGGCCCGCAGGGGGATGGACAAGGCCCTGGGCTCAGCCAGCCTGGGTGGGGAGCATGGGCTAGGAGACTGCACCTCAACCAACTTCTACTGCCAGCAGATCTTGCCAGCATGGTGTTTGGCAACCCGGGAGACCTCCAAAGTTCAGGGAAAACAGGACAGAGAGAGAGAGAAGTTTGTGTTCGTGCAGAATTCCCCCCAACATCTCATCAGGGGCCAGTGTGTGGTGTAAGATGCTGCCCGCAACACCTGCATCAGTCCTGGGTCATCAGCTCCAGGCCTGGCCCTCTGTTTCCCTTCCAGCTCCCTGCTGACGCCCCTGGGAGGGCTGCAGATGACCGCCCCTGGGAGGGCTGCAGATGACCGCCCCTGGGAGGGCTGCAGATGGCCCAGTGCGTGGGCCCCTTCACCCGCGTGGTGGCCCCAGCAGAGTTCTAGGCTCCCAGCTTCTGCCAGCCCCCCTGACAAACACCTTCGTCTGTGCCTGTCTCTCTGGAGAACCCCGCCAGTTCCAACCGTGACCTCAGTGCCACTGTCCAGTGGGGCGACAGCACAGGCCAGAAGCCCCAGGGCCAAGGGACTCCACCCTGAGGGGAGTGGCCGCTGACAGCCCCCTGCTGTCTCACTGGCCCAGGAAGAACGTAAAAGTGTGGAGCCAAGGGGCCCCTCAGCCCCAGACAAGCCCTGGGCCCCAGAAGAGCCTGGGTGCCATCTGCACCTCCTTAGGGCAAGACAGCGAGGCTTCTTAAGAGACACACCCCCTCCATGGCAAGGTGGGGGCTTCTGCGTTCTCTCCATCTTCCTACTGAGGGAGGACCGTCCTCTTCCACCTGGAGAGGAGTGCCGTGGGAGGAGGGGTGAGTGGGGAGTGACCCTCAGCGGGCAACAGGATCTATATGCGGTGATAAGAATATTCTGGAATCCATGGTGCCAGGAACTTGGGCCTGGGACCCGCTATGCAGAGGCTCACAGAACCGGGGACCCTTCATCTCCTCGGTCACCCTGTGCCCTGACCACAGCAAGGGCCGGCACCTTGCTGGGCTCCAGGTCAGCCTACTGAAAGGCCACAGAACCCGAGGTTCTAGAGCTGCAACAGACAGGGATTCTCACAGCACCACCATGGTTAATATCATTTCCACTGTGTAGCTGGGCAAATTGGAACGCAGAGACATTGAGCAGCTTGCCCAGAGCCACATAACTGGGCACGGGGAGAGACAGAATTTGCAGCTAAGCCACACTGCCTCTAACCCTGAGTGACAGGATGAGGATCCCAGCTTCACTCACACCTGATGGCCCATGGCCTCCGGCATCGCCTGGGCTGACCCTAGTCCTGTGGCCACAGCCTCCTCCACTCCGTCTTTCACCAAGCACACCCCTGCCGGCGCCATCTGCAGTGACCCCAGGGGCTCAGGGTCCATGCCCCACTCTGCCCCCTGTAAAAATGTACCTGACGCTCCCAGGGAACTGTGGGAGGAAGTCCAGGAGGATGGCGGGAGGTCCTGACTCCATGGACGAGAGTCTCTGTGAGACAGCTGCCCAGGGAAGGCAGGGATGGGCAGCAAGGCAAGGCAAGGTGCGCCCGGACCCCAGAAGCTGAGCAGGAGGTGCAGGTCGCCACCTGTTGGGCCTGAGGATGTCTGGGCTCCGTGGCTGTGAGTGACCAGATGTCTGGTCTTGAGCCTCCTCCTTCCAGCCACAGGAAGCCAGTGCCCTGCCTGTCCATTACCTAGGATCCCTGCCCCTCCGCACAGGCTGCTGGTCTACCTCTGCCTGGCACCAGGACCTCCTGAGGGAACTCCGAATTTATCCACAGTCTCCCAGCTCTGGAGCTCCTGGGGGGAGGGGCAGGTATCCCGTGCCTCCTACGGGGCCAAGAAGTGGTCAGAGGCAGGAAACCAGAGAGAACCCAGCAGCAGCGTCCTAGCAACCAGTACCTGCTGAAGCCCAGGACCACACACAAAGGCAGCAGCAATGGCCATCACTGTCACGCAGGCAAGCTGTCAGGAATCCTCTGACCTCCTCAGCTGACCTCGCTGGGCGCGCCTGCGTGTGCACGTTCTAGGACAGGCGGGTTCTGCGATTGGGAGAGCCCTCCGTTCCTCACTCCTATAGGGCTTTTCCTAACCCAGGCTGAGGCAGGGACCACCTCGGCAGGCGGATTTCCAAGTCAGGTGTGCCCTTGCCATCTTCCGAGGGCTGTGGACCCCATCCCCCCTGGGGAGCCAGGGTCCTCCGCCCCGCCTCTGCGGGAGACCTGGGGCGACCTAAGACGAGGGAGCCCAGGAGCTGGAGGTGAAAAGGGCAGGCTCTGAGGACCAGGGCCTCCCACACTGGACCTGGGCTTCGCTCGGATCGGCGTAAGGACGGCCGATTCGGGTCCTGCACCCCCGGTTCTCTTCTTCATTCCCTGTGGTCCTCTCCTCCATCTCCCGGAACTGCCCCCGCCCCCGGAAAGCACAGGTTCCGATTCTGCCCCTCTCACCCCCATTCATTGAAATGAAAGCTGCGCAAAGGGCGACAGCGGAACGGCTCCGGGGGCCGCCCCCTCGGTGCCCTGCGCGCAGGTGCGGGGAGAGGCCCTCCTCCTCGCGCGCGTCCTCTTTATCCAGCGAGTCCCGCAGGTCCTGCTTGTAATCGCTCATCCGGGCGGCGACCACACGGCCCGATTTGCAGGGTGAGGGACGGGGCAGGAGAGAACGCCCCTTCTTCGTTCCGCGCTCCGGAGCGTTCAAACGGCTCCCTTATCTGCCGGGGTTGTCCCGGCTGCTGCGGCAGCCCGCGGGAGTCGCGTCTTCTCCCGCTAGACTCCAACACCTGCGCTTCCAGGCAGAGCCGCGCCCTTGGGAACCCGCCCTACCCTCCCTGCTTTTCCCCAACCAGCTACGCACCGGGGACATCCTGGACTCGGTCACCGGCCACCGCCTCCCGGACCCCCACCTCTTCTTACCTTCCCTTCAGCCCCCACCCACCCGGGTCTGCGCGACTACGGGAGGTCCCTTTATTCTACCACCTCACATCCTGGGAGGGACGCTCTATCCCTAAGACATCTCTCCCCATCCCGCCCCTCCTTTCTCCTTTCGAATCGTTTGCCTCTGCGGCCGCCGCCCCAAAGCTGCGCAACCCGCACCCCCCGTGGGCGCCCTGCAAGGTCCCAATCGGGGCGAGCCCCACCCCCGTCCGCGGTTCTCCCTGGGCTTGGAGCGGGCGCGGGGTCCCCGGGGAAGCGCTCCAGCCCGGTCGCGCGCTCCTTTGTGCGGCTGGGAGCGCTGCGTCAAGGCGGAGGCGCTGCCGCTGCCACCGGTTCACAATTAACCCCGGGGAGCGGCAGGAAGGGAGGCGGAGAGCGTGAGGAGGAGGGAGAGGTGGAGGAGGAGGGAGGAGGAGGAAGGAGGGAGGAGGAAGAGGAGGAGGGAGTCCAATCGCCGCTCCCCACCAGCCCCGTGCTGTGCCGCCTCCGCCATTGCTGCGCGCAGGAGCGGCGAACGCGGAGGCTCGGAGCGCGCTCACTGCCCAGACGTGCCAGAGCCGGGCGTGGGGTGAGTGCGGCCGAGGCTGGATCCCGCCCGCCGAGGAGTGGGGAGCAGGGGGCTGCGAGAGGAGGAACAGCTCAGCACCCCAGGGTGCAGGCGGGGGGTACCAGGGCATTCGAGGGGGTTGGCAGGGCGCAGCTGGCTCCGGGGCGAGGGACGCACCTAGATGGGTTGGGCAGGGGCTGCGGCGGCTCGCTGACAGCGGTGCGTCCCTGCGTGCTGCGCGCTGAGTCTGGAAATACGGAGCGCGTCCTCCTCCCTACCCCCAGATCCGGGATCCTCTCGACCCCTCCGCCCCAAAGACGTCCTCCGGGACGGCGGGTGGAGGGTCCTGCGTCCTGCTCGCCCTGATTCTCTCCCGGTTCTCCCTCCGCAGGCGGCAGCCTCGGGTCTCCTGGAACCATGGTGAAGTTGGGGAACAATTTCGCCGAGAAAGGCAGCAAGCAGCCGCTGCCGGAGGATGGCTTCGATACCATTCCCCTGATGACGCCCCTGGATGTCAATCAGCTTCAGTTCCCGCCTCCGGATAAGGTAAGAGGCCTCTGGCACCCGCGCGCTGCCGGTGCGCACCCCCAAATCCCTGGCGACCGCCGCAACAAAAGAACCACGCGCCGCGTGCGCTGGAGACGTTGAGTGGGGCGCGCTCTTGCGTGCGACAGGAGGCCCTGGCGAGGACAATGCGCCCGCACGCACAGGGTTCTGGACCAGGAGGATAAGGGAAGCCTAGCTTAGGGGGTGGGGGAGGGATGTCACCGTTACCGAGAACTGGGTGGGTGAAACCTCCCTGTTGCTGTTGGCGGCAGCCTTGTCCGAGAGCTCCCCAGTTCAGCGCCTGCCTGCCCTGCCTTGCCCTGCCCTGCCTTTCCCGGGATTCTGGGTCTGGGGTGAGCCGAGGGCCAGGCGGCCGCCCCTTGCCTCCCGGGAGCTACAATCTCACCCCCTGGCGGGGCAACGCCCCAGCCCTCTCGGTAGCCGCACCTGGGCGCTTAGGGACGAATTCTGCCCCCTCCCCTCACGGCTGCGGGAATGGAGTGGGTGCTGGAGGACAGGGCTCAGCAAGACCCGTGGTGTGTTTAGGGGTGGCCCTCAGGGACCACATTCATCAACCTCCACCGGCCTTTGCAATCCCTTTTTTCGTGGCGCGCAGCACCTGTCAGATAGCTTGCATCCTAAGTAGGAAGGCTGCTTCCTCGGCTTCACACGTGAACAGGTGAATACCAGCTTGTGGAGGATCAGATTGCAAAACGCAGATCTGAAACCATAAACCCAGCACCCGCCCACAGCACCTTGCTGCTACTTTTGAAAAAGCCACAGGGCCCAGGGTTTAGTTCACAAAACTACCCAAAGTGCTGTCTCGTTTGCCTCATTTAGTCATCCACGACAAGGCTCTGACCCAGAGGTTTTGCTCTAGGCCAGCAGCCCCACGCACTGCTCATCACCAGGTGGCAGGTGCAGTGACATCTCCTGTGGTGTGTCTCGTCCTGGGGACCACCTGCTGTCCCCACCATGCACCCTTCAAGGGGCTTGTTCAGCTCCTCAAAGTGGGTGTGACTCTGCACTCTGCTGTCTGTTTTGAGTTGAAGGGATGTGGGTTCAGGGAATCGGTCGGCAGCAGGTGCTTCAGCTCAGAGCAGAGGGACCAGCTGATGACACTGGGCACACCCAGGCCACGTGGGGACACTCAGGGACACACATGGTCCAGGGCTGGCTGAGGCCTCTGCTCCTGCCCCACCCCTTGCCTCTCATCAAGGTCAGGTGCATGCCCAGTTAGCAGAGCTGGACCCAGACCTGCTCCTTTGGCTTCCCTGCTGCTGAGCCTTGGAGCGGCGGCAGCTGTGCCAGGAACCCCATGTCCTGAGGCAGCCCCTCTATCAGGTGATTCTGGTGGCTCAGCCAGAGCCTGCTCTTTGGCCCTCAGCCTGGCTCACTCCAGAGCCGTCTGGCACCACCGGCACACTGGAAGGAGGGTTTCAAGCAGGTGTGAACTCTGTACCAACTAGTTAGGATGGCCTAGGCCCTGGGCTGCTGGGGAAGGGGCTGAGGCTGCAGCCCCTGGAAGCAATGCTGCCAGGAATAGGGTCCCAGTGGGGTTGGAGGAAGTGGAGACTTGGAGAGTTTGGAGGGCTAGGGGCTGGGCCCAAGGTCACTGGGCTGAAGGGCACAGCCCCCCAGGAGGCAGACTCATCTGGAGGTGTCCTGTCCCCTCCCTGCATGGAGCTCTGGCTTCATCCGAACAGCAGTGATGGTGACGCCTCTCCAGGGTCAGCATTCAGGGCTGTGGGGCCCCTCAGAGCCGCTGGGAGAGTCTGGGGGTGTCTCTAGGCATTTGCACTTCTGCTCCAGACACTGCTCTCTGTGATCCCAGGCTTAAAACAGTGACCCCCACCACAACCATTATACATATGCGGAAACAGGCCCAGGGAGAGAAGGACTTCCCTCAGGTCACCTTGCCTGCTGGTGTCAGAGCAGGGGCCACAGCACATCTACTGAGTCCCCATGCTGGGCTGAAGGCTACGTGGAGTTCACCAGCCTCACAGGTGCCCACGGCATCTGTGGAATGACTGTGGAGGACCAGGCTCATGCTCAAGGTCACATGACCATGGAGGACAGCAGGGTGATGCCCAAGGGCTGCCCTGAGAAGTGGGTGCCTCGCAGGAGTCCTCCAGACCAGCTCACACTGGGCACCACCCTCCAATGCTGTGTGCCATGGGGCTCTGGGTGAAGGTGAAGTAAGGAGAGGGGTACTTCCATGGTCAGTGGTACCTGGCATGCCACTTTGTCCTCCTCACCCCCTTCCCCAAGGCTGGCTCCTGGCATCTGTGTGGCTGCCCACCCAGGGACTCCTGGTTGGCCCTGGCTATCACCATGGTATAGAACAGGTGTAAGAATCTGATTCTCTGTCGGCTGGCATGGGGACAGAGATGACAGCAGTCCCAGGCCCAAGTGTGACATGTGCAGGGGAGACCAGGCTGTGAGTGGCTGAGGAAGGGGAGCTGGTGACAGGCTCGAGGCAAGGCCTGTTTCCTGCTTTGAAGTAGCAGGTGTAGGGGGATGGAGAGCAGGGAGGAAGGGCAGGGGAACAGGAGCCCAGGTCGGCTTCCTGCCAGGCTGGCCACCCCATAGCTCGATGCTGGTGAGCCCCGGCAGTGCGCTCAGCTCGCTGCACTCTCCTGGCTGCCCCGGCTGAGGCTCCTGGGGTGGAGGAGCCCTGGGTGAGGAGCACCGCGCTGTGCTGGACCCTGCTCGGCCACTGACCGGCTGCGTGACCTCCCGGCCCCTCCAGTAAGTGCTCACCTGCCAGGGGTGCTGTGGGAATTGCTAACGGGCCGTCTTGCAGAAGGTTCTGGCTTGGGTGTCCATCACCCCCACCTCAGCGTTTGACTCCCAGCGGTCCCCATGATTGCCCAGCTGTGTGTTTTCCTATCAGGTGGTTGTGAAAACCAAGACTGAATATGAACCCGACCGCAAGAAAGGGAAAGGGCGTGCTCCCAAGATCGCCGAGTTTACCGTCAGCATCACGGAGGGCGTCACCGACAGGTTCAAGGTGAGCGTCCCGGTGGCGTTTGGTTCTCGCTTTTATTCCCAGGGATTGCCGAGCTGCAGGGACGCAGGAAGCAGGAATGCCAGCTGTGCGACTCTCCCAAGCCTTGGGGACCTGGGACATGTCTCTTGTCATCTCTCAAAATGATCACCTGTGATTTGCTTTTGTAATAGAAAAGCCCACCTGTAAACTTCCTTGTAGACCCAGGGCACAAACACGTGACACGTTGTTCACCAGATGTGAAGCTGTTTTCCTCACACTTCCAGCCAGGAAGTGAACAGTAACCAGGGGAACCAGGGGAACCAGGGGAACACACCTACAGGTGCTCATCCACGCGGGAGGCTAGTGCCACTGGTGCCACCCCACTTGACAGATGGGCAGGTGGAGGCACAGCGGCCATGGCTGTGCTTGGCAGAGCAGATTCTGCACTCACTACCTCCTGAAGGGACCAGGTCTGGGCCCAGGGAGGCCTCAGGACCTTGGAGGTGATGTTGGTTGAAGGACAAGTTCGGGTTGGTCTCCTGGAAAATTGTTTTTTTGGAAATCCAGAAAGAGAGGGGGAAATGAGTATATGAGCTTGGATTTGGAGAGAGGGGCAGGAAATGGCAGGGGCCTGGATGACTCGCTGGTGCCCCGACTTAATGTGTAGCAACTTGCTCGTTCTGGGGTGCCTGGGCGCATTGCATATTGTGTCCTGGTGGTCTTCCCAGGTGATCCCCCCTGACGAATCGTGGAAATAGAGCTGGGGAGGTGGGCAGCTCTGTGGAGTGAGTGGGGGCGGCCTGGAGGAGGCTGGGACTGTGGGTGTCTGGTGCGTGGGCAGTGGATTTGGGTGTGCCCCTCTGTCCACCCCTTGCTGTTCCCTGGTGTAGGCTGTATGGGTTGGATGACCCATATTAGAGGTGGAGAAGTTGAGGCACAGAGACACCTCTGTGTGTGTCTGTAATCTTGGCTCTGCAGTTCAGGCATGTCCGAGGTTCATGGCCAGGACCAGGACGGAGGTCCTCATTCATTGCCCCTCTCCTGTCCGTCCTGCCCTATCTGCAGGCCGCGCAGGCTGCTGCCATGCTGGCTTAAGGCACCAGTGACCTCGAAGTCAAGGTCATGGTGTCTGGATGCCCCTGGCATCTTAGGTCCCCACGGAGCAGGCAGCTACTTAGCTCCTCGAGCCCCTGTCGTGTGCCCGGCTCTGCTCCCCAGGCCAGCATCCTGCATCTGTGCATCTCCTGAACGCTTCCCCTGAACAGGCCCCCAGGTCCCTTGCCCGAGACAGGGTGACGCAGGTTTGCCACCAGAGCCTGCGTTGCTTGGGACTGTGCGGTTACCTGGCTCCTGTTGCTTGGGGCTGAGGGCTGAGAGGACCTTGGGACAGTCAAGATGATCGTGCCCTTCCCAGTGGACTGGCTCTGTTGGCAGAAGTCCCGCTTCCCTCCTCCCTTGGCCCCCACCTCCTGGGGCTGTGAGGGTGAGGTATCCGGCAGGGCATGGTTGCTCCGCTCCTACCCACACACCTGCTATCTCCTTTGTTGTTCCCGTGCCCTGAAGGGGCGCTGTGAGCCCCTCTTGCTGTTGAGTTCCAGATTGGTGTGACTAGCTGCAAAGCCAGCACACACATCTCCCCAGGACCCATGCACTGCATCCCCTGCCCTGGCAGTGACTGTCCCAGGCAGCTCCCGAGTGCCCCCTGGAGGCCATGCCGGGTCGTTTCGTGTGATCTTCATATATACCTCTGCATGTAGGTACCGGTGGGCATCCTGCAGCAGGATGGAGGCAAATTGAGGCAGCTGGCTCCATGGAGGGGTCACTCAGCTTCTCCCAGGGAGGACAGGTTTGCCCCTACGGCATTGTCAGTGCATGCTGTGGGGTTACTGGCTTCTGCGAACCCCACAGATCCTTTCTTGCTGACCTGGCCCCCTGCTTGGGTGTCGGGTTGCCCCGCGCCTCCTCCATCTTCTGCCCGGAGCCCTGCAGGAAGCAAGTCCACTGCTCCACTGCCCTGCCTGGGCACTGGCCCCGCTGCCCCATGAGCTCGCTCCTTAGCTGGTGTTCCTGCAGCCTCTTCTTCCATGCCATGGTCTCCGGGCTCCTGTGTTTCCTCCAGGAGAGGGCTGGATGGGCATATGTTCCTCTTGCTGTATATTTCTGTGTGTGAGGACTGTGAGTGCCTGTGAGGCTCAGTGGCAAACAGGGAAGAATACGAAGCCCCAGTGACTCCCCAGGTGCCGAGCATCAACCCCCGGAAGCACAGGGCCTGTGCCTGCAGTTTGTTCAGCAGCCGCTGCGGGCTGGCCCCGGGAACAGCTTCTTGCTCGTCTCCTTGCTGCCACTTAATATGCGCTCTGTAACAGCTTGATAAGTAAGTGGATGACTAATCGAGCTGCTGGTCTCCCGGGAAGGGGACTTGGCCGGATTTCCAGGGTCTACTCGTGGGGCCCTCTCCTGTTGAACAAGTTAGGTCATGCCTGTCTCTCTCAATGTACACTCAATCCCACCTCACTGGGCGCAGGACATGCCCTAGGCCACACCATCAGTGAATGTCAGAGGCAGGATGCAAGCCTGGCATCTTGCCCTGGAAGCCTCATGCTGTCAGCATACTTGGGCTACTGGTAGCCTGCTGGGAGGCCATGGACCATGCTCCGAGCGGAGCAGCCTCAGCCCTGAGTATGCCTCTCGCCTTTGCCTGGACCCAGGTAGCCTCTGAATGCCCCCCACGGCCACCTCTATGCACCTGCTGTGGGTGGGGTATGTGCATAGCAGGCAGCCTCTCAAGGCCCCGTGTCGTCCAAGGAAGCTTGTCTGGATGGCCTGCGGTTTGTATTAATATTCAGGAGTGTGCCTCATCGCCAACTTTCTGGGGGACTCGACAAACACCTGTGAGTGGGGGCTGCCTTCTACACTGGGGACCCTCTGCAGCATGCTCCCTGCATTGGATTGTCCAGCCTGCATGCACCGGCCGGAGCATGTGGCTGCTGTGGCTGCAGGTGGAGATGGTGCTGCCTGGAGCTGGGGTTGGCTAGGGAGCAGGGGGCAGACAGGGTGTGGTCCTCAGCCCGGGGCTCAGCCCTGCTTGTTAGATTGCCCCAGCACTCCGCCAGCAGCCCGACGTGTGCCTCTCTGTGTGTCCCTCCAATGGCATCCTTGAGACACACATCTTTCTTGTGGATCACTTCATGATTCTCACTCTGGGGACCTCTGCCTCTGGCTGCCAGAGGGCTAGGCTGGTTGCTAGGCAACTGTCTACCGTGGGCAGGGTTCTGGGACTCCTGGTGTGGGCTGATGGTTGGCAGCGTGAGTTGAAAGGCTGGGTTTGTGAAGGGGTGCATGGCAGCGAGGAAAGCAGACATTTAACTTGTCAAAGGAGGGTGGGGACCAAGGATAAACATGGGCTGGGCGTGTTCTCAGATGATGAGGCAAATCTAAACGTTTCAAACCATTTGCCCCATTCTGAGTCGGAGCTGCCAGCCGTCTGGGAAGGAAGGAGCAAGCTGGGGCCAAGTTTCCGTCGGGGCCTGGGCAGAGCCCAAGGGCAGTCAGCCACACTCACAACCTATCACGGTCAACCCAGGTGGGAGAGCATCTTAGCACAGACCGTGGTTGGCTGAGGGGTCCTCAAAGCCGGTTGCTGGCGCCTGGTGAGGGTGGCCTGTGCACACGGCCTGAGTGTCCAGGCACCTGGCATCTGCTTCTCATGTCCTTAATCACCTTGAACTTCCTGCATGCCCGTCTGTTTTCTGTGTTTCTTAACCATTTCTGAGTGCCCACACCTTGGTGTTGGGTAGTGGGGGGCAAATCTAGAAACACCCCTGTGACTTTCAGCCGGATTTGGCTGCCTGCCTATACCATGGCAGAGCTCCCTGGGGCCAAGAGGAGGGGGCTCCATCCAGAGTCTGCTGAAATGGGGATTCAGTCATGTCGGGGTGTGTGCGTTCCCGGACAGCGTTAGTGCTGCAAACACTTGCTGATGTCAGGATCCACCCTCTTTCTCCAAGATTTTTTTTTCTTTACTGCATTACTCAGCAGAAATGCTGCTTGCTGTTCCCCTCCCCCCAGGGTGGGAGGGCAGAGCGAGGCAAGGCAGAGGACTCAGCCATCGACCGGGGCTCCCTGCTCCACAGGAGTGTCCTTGCTTTGCTCTTTAGCCATGGCCTCTGGAGGCTGACCTTGGCTGGCTGAGGCTGCACATGGGGGCACTCAGGCCAGATAGGTCAGGCTGCAAATTCAAGGTCACTGGCTAAGAAGGGGTGGCCATGCGGTTTAGACCTGCACCTATTTGGCATATTGTGTCCTCTGTACCAGTGGGCTGAGGGCCACCTCTGCTGTTACCATTGCTGTCACCTGGTCCCTCCCCACCATGCTGGGCGGTGGCCCTGGGAAGCCTCCTGTGCACCCCCTGGTGGGAGAGAGCAGCTGGGAGCTGTTCACATGAGGCACACATAGGCCTTGCACATGCTTGCTTTGCAAACCAGGCCAAGTGACCTGGGTGTGTCAGCAGAAGAACCCGGTGACTCACAGTGTGAGGGTGGGCTTGGCAGTGGGAAGGTGGCTGGGAACACTCACCTGAGCCTGCCCAGCCCGCAAACCACGTGGGCCCTCCCGGCAGATTCTTGGGTTGCCTCCAAGTCACATCTGCCCGTGCCAGGCTGCTCTGGCAGCCCTCCCCCCCATGACATAGACTCACCTGTGTTTGCCAAGACTCCCGACACCCCAGTCCTCAATGTTGTACCTCTCCCCTCTGCCCACCACTTTGTGCCCCCAAGATAGTGGCAAAATATACCACAGAGGTAATGTAGTACAGTGATGCACCGCTGTGGTCACTGCCTGGTTCCAGACATTGCCGTCACCCCCTAGGGAGACCCCACATGCCTTCGGCAGTCACTTCCATCCCTTCACTGAGTGTGACCCTCTTCTTCGCTATCTACTGTGGAAATGGAACCAGACACCTCTGTGACCTTGTGGGTTGGTCAGCTTGCACTTGGTGTGATGTTTGCCCGACAGGGGACTCA